GTGGTTCAAGCAAAGCACTCTATGGGACCTTCCATATTGGAAATATCTGCATGTTTGTCACAACTTAGATGTCATGCACGTTGAAAAGAAATTTTTTGATTAGTTGATTTACACTATAATGGACGTGAAAAAGCTATCTTGTGACATGCCATCAGCTCGGAATGACATTGCCAAATACTGTAAACGGCCCCAGCTACATCTTCAAGAGGATGATAGAGGAAAAGAATTCATGCCAAAGGCTCCATTTGCTCTTGACAAGGCTCAGAGAAAGGTTTTGTGTGAGTGGGACAAACAGCTGCAGTTTCCTGATGGTTACGCTTCCAATTTGAGCAGATGCGTTGATTTGCAATCAGGTAAGTTACATGGAATGAAAAGCCATGATTGTCACGTGTTCATGGAGAGGTTGTTGCCCACTGCTTTGAGATAATTGCTCCCTAACCATATATGGAATGCAATTACAAAGATAAGCCAATTCTTTCGCGATTTATGTTGCTACACAATTACAGTTAGCGACATGGAGCGATTGGAAAAAAAACATAGCTGAGATCCTGTGCAAGCTTGAGAAGGTTTTCCCTCCATCTTTCTTCAACTCCATGGAGCATTTACCAATTCGTTTTCCATATGAAGGAAAATTATGTGGACCTGTTCAATATCGGTGGATGTATCCTTTTGAAAGGTAAATCAAAGGCCCTTTCTCAACTCTTACTTTCATCTCTTTCATTGCTTAGGGTTACTTATACTTCTACGGTTATAAAAATATTTACAGGTTCCTCAATCACCTGAAACGAAAAATTGGTAATAAGGCTCGTGTTGAAGGTTCCATATGCAACGCTTATCTCACTGAAGAGATATCAAACTTCTGCTCCAATTACTTTCAGCCCTCAGTTGACACAAAAACACGAGATCTAGGTCGAAATGTGAATGCTGATGTGGAATCCACGGCTGACAACGATGAAATCCCATAGCTTTTCACGGTGGATAAGGGTCGTGTGTCAAATGTGGGTAAAACTCGGTATTTAGATGACAAGGAACTCGAACGTGCTCATTTGTTCGTTTTAAGAAATAACGGCATTCTTGGTGAATACGAAAGGTATATATGTTTTGGATAAACTTTTGAAAAACCCTTAAATTTAATATAATTGCTGCAATGATTAACCATGTGTCATTAATCTATTAGGCAGTTTGAGGACTACATTCTTAGTACTCGAACATATTTGCAGCGAGAAGATGTCATGGAGAAATGCGAAAGTGATTTCCCTGATTGGTTTCATCACAAGGTGATAATACTTTTCGAACATTGCATATCGATTAACTTCTGATAATACAATATATTTCATTTCAATTAGTGTGACATTTGTATTCGTAACGGTTAAAGGTGAGGGAACAGAAACCAAGTTCCGATATGTTTCGAGCATTGTCTATGAGGCCTTTCAAGCGTGTTCGAACTTGGAACCAGATATTTGTCAGTGGCTTTAATTTCCACACACAGTCCTGTGGCAAACACAAATCTACGATGAATTATGGGGTATGTGTCTCAAGTGAGGACGGTGGAGAGTACTTTGGCATTTTAAACGACATAATTGAACTTGTCTACACCGATCCCGAAAAAGAGTACAAGACTATTTTGTTTAGTTGCAATTGGATGGATTGTGGTAAAGGAATGAACATTCATGAACAATACAAGCTTGTCGAAGTAAATCATACTAAGAAATATCTCAATTATGATCCATTTGTCTTATCTTACCAAGTGTCTCAAGTGTCTTATGCATCTTACCCTAACGTGATCGGGTTCAATGGTGGGTTGTATTTAGAACTCAAGCAAGGTCGATGATTGATGCTCCGGTGGATTTAGAGTTTTTGCAAGCTCCTTCACCACAAGTACATGCAACGCTTTGTCCACCAACTAACATTCCAGACTATGAACTTGATAGTGATGATGATGATGACGATGGCTTTGTTATCTCAAGCGATGAAGAAGAAGAAGAAGAAGAAGAAGAAGAAGAAGAAGAAGAAGAAGAAGAAGAAGAAGAATAAGAAGAAGAAGAAGAAGAAGAAGAAGAAAGCATTGACTCCAGTGATAGTGACGAAGAAGAGGACATCGATGTATTTTTAGATGACACTAGTGATAGTAATAATGATAGTGATAATGATAGTGGTAGTAGTGATAAGAGTAATGAAGAGGAGAACATGTAGTTACTCCTTTAACTATTGTCTTCGAATGTTTAGTTTTTAATGACTACTCGGACTTGTAATATTGCATAACATATTTTGTCTCAAGTAGAGGTCCTTATAGGTTGTAATAGAGTCGTTGCCCTATAGTGAAAGAGTTTAGTAAAATCCGTAGTGGTCGTGGTTTTTCTTCTTAATTGGGCCCAAGAAGTTTCCACGTAAAAATCCTCTCTTGCATTTTCGTGTTCCTTATAGCTTTCATTTAAAATTCTGCTTTAATTTTGCTATAAGTTCTTGTCTACAATTCACCCCCCCTCTTAGAGAAGTTCATCTGGTTAACAAGTGGTATCAGAGCAGGTTACTCAGATTATACAGGCTACCCTGTAGAGTTAAGTCTCTGAGAAAGATGAATTCGCACGAGAAACTCGAAGAAGGTTACTCTACGCAAAGACCTCCCATGTTCAGCGGGAAATTCTATTCCTATTGGAAGAACAGAATGGAGGTCTTTATTATGGCGGAGAATTACCAGGTATGGTGTGTAATTGAAGTTGGAGACTTTAATGTTACTTCAACCAACGAACAAAACGAGGTAGTTCCTAAACCTATCTCTGAATTTGATAAAGATGATTTTGAAAAGATGGAAATTAATGCTTTGGCTGTGAAACTACTTCATTGTGGTCTTGGACCTCATGAACACAATCGTTTCATGGGATGTAAAAATGCTAAACAGATATGGGACCTCGGTACCTAGTGTTCCTCCTATTGTCGGTCACTCAACTGGTGTTCCCTCTTCGTTTTCTCAAGGTTTTTGTTTTGCTGCATTTGGATCGTCTAGTCCCTCTAAAACAGAGAAGGAGAAATTATTAGAGGAACTTAAGACTTCTTTTGTCAATGTGATTAAATCTAATGAGCAGCTTGTTGGCAAAGTACAGGAGCTTGAGAAGACCGTGGCTTCTTTACAACAGGAACTACAAAACCTTAAAGATCAAATGTCTCAAAATCATCAAGCAATCATGTCAACTATCACCAAACCGTGACTTTTGAATAGCCTACTTGTTCCACCCATTTTTTTCCAAACTATGGTGTTTATTATTATTTTAAAACTTAGGTAAATTTTTTTTTTTATTTTTCTTATGTTTACGTAGTTGTTGGGTGAAGGCCTTTTTTTAATGCTTGCTATTAATGGAACACATGGCTTTTGATTTCCTATTGTGCAATTACCTGATCTTGCAAAGTTTGATTGCCTAATCCTATAAATATGTGGAGATACTTTGCTTTGTTTCTAAGGGGCTATTTCTATGGAAGTAGTGGTGTGTGTGGCTATTTTGTTCAATATTTTTCTTTTGATGAAGCCCAAAGGGGGAAGACAAAGCAAACTTGTACGCTAAAGTTCCGAGTTCTCAGGTAGTATAGTATGTATAGTTTTTTTTTTGTATTGTTATGAGTGCTTGATTTGTGCTTGATTTTTATTTCTCTCTCAAGTTTGATTTGGTTTGTCATCATCAAAAAGGGGGAATATTGTTGTACTCTATGTTTTGATGATGACCCAAACAAACTTAACTAATGTTTTTATTAAGTTCCTGTGCGTAGATGAATAAAGTTCCCGAGAAGGAACATAAAAGAATTTGTGTTACAGACTTGGCAAAAACAAGCGAAAGAAAATCAAGTAAATATTTATCATGTTCCTTTTGGGAACAAAGGTTTATCTAGTTCCCTTTGGGAACAAGTGTGTGTCATGTTCCTTAAGGGAACAACCTTTGTTCATTATTCATGATCCTGAGTGGGAACTTGGAACGAAGCAAATTGAAGCTACAGAGTTGGAGCTTCAAACAAGATAAGACATGAAGACTAAATTTATTTTAGGATTTATGTAAGTGTTGGGAACTTATAGTGATTTGGAACTCAGAAGGAACATACTTGTTTTTTAAGAAAAAAATATGAACGTATATTTTAAACTCTTTGAAAATATATTAAAATTATTTTTTCTTGAAAAGCTAAAGATTTTGATGTGATAAAATCTATTTTGGTAAAAAGATTATTTATTTTTGTAAAATAAATTTTAGATATTATCTTTATTAAAATTTCTTTTTCTCCAAGTTAGTTTTACACGTTTTAATCTTTTGTGACTTAGTCTTAGGAATACCATTAAAAGATATTTCTATCACTTGGTCATCACGTTCCCATGTTTTCCTCAACAATCAGTTATGGATTCATGTCCTATGATCATGGGAATATGACTGTTGTGGGGAGAGTGGGAAGTCGTTTAGAGTTTATGAGTACTCTATAAATAGAGAGTTGTAAACTTTGAACGACTCACCAGACTTAACTTGAAAAACATTCTTGAAATATCTTTGAACTTTCTTTTAGAGTCTGAGTTCCTATTGCATAAGTTTTTCCAACACACTAGATTACAGAGTTGTATTTTGGGTTTTTGGGAAAAGGGTTGAGTGAACTCTTGTTGTAGTTAGGCTTTGAGTTGAGCCTAAGAGTGTAAGAGAGAGCTTCAGAGTCGAAGCTTGTGAGTACAGTTGTTTGAGGGAACAACTGTGGGAACTTGAGTTTATTGAGAAACTCAAGTAGAGGTCCTTATAGGTTGTAACAGAGTCGTTGCCCTATAGTGAAAGAGTTTAGTAAAATCCGTAGTGGTCGTGGTTTTTCTTCTTGATTGGGCCCAAGAAGTTTCCACGTAAAAATCCTCTCTTGCATTTTCGTGTTCCTTATAGCTTTCATTTAAAATTCCGCTTTAATTTTGCTATAAGTTCTTGTTTACCATTCACCCCCCCCCCCCTCTTATAGAAGTTCATCTGGTTAACAAAGATGTCCACGAACGCATGATGCGAATTGTTGTCACTGATCTAGATTATAAGAAGCGAACGGAACAAAACAAGAAGAACAGAAGAGGCGGATCCATGGAAAATGTCGTTGAACCGACCTACTTTCAAGGTTCAATGTCAGCTGTACAGCATGCTAAAAGGATGGTAAGGTTCCTAAAATCTGTCCAGTAACAATTAAGTCATTTGTGTATTAATGAATTTTTTTGGGCTAACATGTTCTCATTGATTTTCTGCATGTATATATAAAGGCAGCACAAAACCAAGGCCAATTACCAAATGCCCATGATCTTTTCTTGAAGACACACTTCAAGAAAGTGCCTGGAAAAGGCCAAGTGGCTGCCAACACTAAAGCAAAATGGATTGCGGTAAAAACTTATTATATGACTTGATATATGACAAATTAGCAAAGTAGAACTCATTATATGCTTATTTGCTTGAGTTTAGATGAATAAGGGTCGTAAAGTGACTTTTGTGCTTATTTTTCTTAATTTCTACCCATAGAAACCTAAAAGTAATTGATATTGGAATGCTAGAAGAAAGAACGAGTTCATTTGATTGAAAACATAAAAAATAGGCATGGTTTTAGCCATATAGGCCAAATTTGGATGAATTTGGATGAGTAAGGGTCGACAATTGACATATGTGATTATTTTTCTTAATTTCTATCCATAGGCACCTAAAAGTATTTGATATTGGAATGCTAGAAGAAAGAACGAGTCCATTTGATTGAAAACATAGAAAATAGGCATGGTTTTAGCCATATAGGCCAATTTTGGATGAGTTTGGATGAGTAAGGGTCGATAATTGAAATATGTGATTATTTTTCTTAATTTCTATCCATAGGCACCTAAAAGTAATTGATATTGGAATGTTAGAAGAAACAATGAGTTCGTTTGATTGAAAAATAGAAAATAGGCATGGTTTTAGCCATATAGGCCAAATTTGGATGATTTTGGATGAGTAAGGGTCGATAATTGACATATGTGCTTATTTTTCTTAATTTCTATCCATAGGATCCTAAAAGTATTTGATATTGGAATGTTAGAAGAAAGAACAAGTCCATTTGATTGAAAACATAGAAAATAGGCATGGTTTTAGCCATATAGGCCAAATTTGGATGATTTTGGATGAGTAAGGGTCGATAATTGACATATGTGCTTATTTCTCTTAATTTCTATCCATAGGCACCTAAAAGTAATTGATATTGGAATGTTATAAGAAAGAACGAGTCCATTTGATTGAAAACATAGAAAATAGGCATGGTTTTAGTCATATAGGCCAAATTTGGATGATTTTGGATGAGTAAGGGTCGACAATTGACATATGTGCTTATTTTTCTTAATTACTATCCATAGGAACCTAAAAGTATTTGATATTGGAATTTTAGAAAAAAGAACGAGTCCATTTGATTGAAAACATAGAAAATAGGCATGGTTTCAGCCATATAGGCCAAATTTGGATGATTTTGGATGAGTAAAGGTCGTAAATTGACATATGTGCTTATTTTTCTTAATTTCTATCCATAGGCACCTAGAAGTAATTGATATTGGAATTCTAGAAGAAAGAACGAGTTCATTTGATTGAAAACATAGAAAATAGGCATGGTTTTAGCCATATAGGCCAAATTTGGATGTATTATGATGAGTAACGGTCGTAAATTGACATATGTGCTTATTTTTCTTAATTTCTATCCATAGGCACCTAAAAGTAATTGATATTGGAATGTTAGAAGAAAGAATGAGTCCATTTGATTGAAAACATAGAAAATAGGCATGGTTTAAGCCATATAGGCCAAATTTGCTTGCGTTTGGATGAATAAGGGTCGTAAAGTGACTTTTGTGCTTATTTTTCTTAATTTCTATCCATAGGCACCTAAAATTTAAGCCATATAGGCCAAATATGCAACTGAATAATCAAGAATAAGAAACCTTACCTTATATTGTTGGTTGTTTTTTTATTACAATTTTTTTTATTATCTTCAATATTTTGTAGGAAACCTACCAGAAGAAGCTCGAAGAAACAAGGAGTCAGGGGATTCAGAAGAGTCCCAATGAGTTGTACTGGGAGACGGTGGGTGAACGCAATAAGAAGGGTCGTGTGAAAGGACTTGGCCAAAGTGCAGAGCTCTACTATGGCAACCGGATGGGTCGAGCTTCCCGTTCTTCACAGCAATACACGCTGTCTGTCATTCCTCAGATGCAAGACCAGATGGAACACAGGGTGCAAGCTCTCCAAAATCAAATGGAAGCCGAGATGCAAAGGTGAATTGACTCCCGAATGGCTAAAATAGAGAGGAGATACAAGGAGAGTATGGATGAGATGAAGAGTCGTTTCACCAACAACGACTCACGTTCCACCATTCATCCTCAGCATCGAGACCCAAGGGACGACCCGGGTAGTGGTAGAGCAGGCCAGGGTACCCAGGCAATTGCGTAGCTTAGCTTTAGTCTAGCAAATCAAGATTCACTCTAACATAGCTTTTGTTTGGTATAGATACCAAAATATGGACTATCTTTTGTACTAGGACATAATTATTATATATATTTGTAAATAAATATAATTTCGTAGGTCGGTAATTAATTTATTTTAAAACAACAATTTCAGGTTTTGAAATGCATTTTTTTGTCGATTTATTATAAACAAAATTTAGGTTTGGAAATGCCTTTTTTTACAGAAATTTCTGGCGGGCTGGAAGGTCTTTCCGACGGAATTATTCCTCGCAAACAAAGAATTCCGACGGAATATTTCCTCACAAACTAAAACTTATGACGGAATAGTTCTTCGCAACAGAATTTTTTGTCGGAAAATATAATTTCCGACGGAAAATTTCCTCACAAACAAAAAATTCCGACGGAATTTTCCATCGGAAATTACATTTTCCGACATTAAATTCCATCGGAAATTATATTTTCCGACAGAAAATTCCGTCGGAATTGTTAGTTTGCGACGGATGTTTTTCCGTCGGAATATTGCGAAGGACCATCAGTTAGGGTCAATTTCAAGTCCGACGAAGTTATTTCCGTCGTAAATTCCGTCGGAAAGAAGGTTTACGACGGAAATTCCGTTAGAATATGACCTATTTCCTACAAAGTGTTTTTCGACGAACGGTTCTGACGGAATTCCGTCGGAAACCTTCTTTCCGACGGATATTGCATAAGTTCCGACGAATTTTTTCTTGTAGTGTTTCACTTAACAATTGAATCAACTAAAATAAATAAGAACATCACAGTATAAATCGAATTTCAATCAATATAATCCAAAAATTACAATATATAATAAAAAAAATACAATCAATTACAACATATAAATAAATAAAAAAAATTACAATATACTCGTAAATAAAAAAAATTACAATATAAATAAAATTAAAAAAAACCCATACACATCTAAATCAATATTCTTGCATCTTGACTCTTCAATTTAAGATCTAAATCAATGTACCTGCACGAATTAAAAAAAAAAATCGATTAATATAAATAAGTTTCGAAAAAAAAAAACAGAAATTCAAACCCAGAAAATGAAAGCACGAATTCAAACCTAGAAAAAAAAAAGAAAAAACTAGAAATTCAAATCTATTAAAATCGAATTGAAATCGAGAAAAAAAAACCAGAAATCGAAAAAAAAAATCAAAATTGAAATAAAAAAAAAACTAGAAATAAAAAAACCCAAAAATTAAAATCGAAAAAAAAAATCAAAATCGAAAAAAAATAAACCCAGAAATCGAAAAAATGAAAATCGAAATAAAATCCAATTAAAATCGAATTGAAATGGAAAAAAAAAACCTAGAAAAAAACCTAGAAATAACGAAAATAATACTAAAAACCCCAAAAACGCATGCATTAACCCAAAATAAATGATTATTTTAACCGAAAGTTAATCCAGAAAAATCAAATTGAAATCCGAAAATCGATTTAAATCGATTAATGAAACCCAGAAAAATCAAATTAAAATCCAAAATCAAACCCAAAAAAACACCCAAAAAATACATGCAAGAACCCAGAAAAATCCATTAATTAAACCCAAAATCAAACCCAAAAAATCCAACCCATAAATCGAAAAAAACAATCAAAATCAAAATAAATTGAAAATGGAAAAAACCCACAAATCAAAAACGCCCATAAATCGAAATAATTGAAATAAAAAAAACCCACAAAAAAAATTTAAATCGTAAAAAAAAAAACCCCAGAAATCGAAAATAAAAATCAAAATCGATTAAAAAAAACCCAGATTTGTGTTGCATGTTGGTGGTCTTCGAATTGTTGGTGGTCTTCGAATGAAAGAAAGGAGGAGGAGATCTAGAAAGAGAAAAAGGAGATGGAGATCGGGGAGCAGGAAGGAAAGAGGAGGAGAGGAGAGGGAGAGCTGAGAAGAAATTAGGGTTGGGGGATATTTTAAAGGGCCGCGATTTTTTTTTAATAATTAAAGGACCGGTTCACAAAGGCACCGGTTCAACCGGTGGCCTTTATGCTTTTGCCACCGAAAGGCCACCGGTTTGAAGTGAACCGGTGCCTTATATCCTAGTTCAGCTTCCCACCAATTTTTAAAGCCATTTTTGCCATCGGTTTGGACTGAACCGGTGGCAATTAGGGGGTACCTTTTTGATATTTTCTACTAGTATATCCTATTCATTTGTATATAAAACTCTAAACACCAAACAAAATACACCAAAAAAATAATCATTTCTATATAAAACTAGTTATTGTTTTTCTTGTGATAGAAAAAAGTTATTTGCAATATTATGACTTCGAATCAACTCAAAAAAGAAATAGTATTTCCTTAATTATTTCTTGGATCGGATAAAGATCCTTATTTATTTGTATAGTATTCCAGTGCATTTCTGGTGCGGCTGGCCGCACAGTGCGGCAGGGTGCCCAGCTAAAGTAACCCCCTAAGTAACCTCACTAAAGTAACCCCTTTAGTAACCCCCAAAGTAACCCTTCAAGTAACCCCCAAAGTAACCCCACTTAAGTAACCCCTACTAATTCCCCAAGTAACCCCCAAAGTAACCCCTTAAGTAACCTCTAACCGGACCAAGTAACCCCTGATCGTACCAAGTAACCCCTAACCAGACCTAGTAACCCCCTTAGTAACCTCTGACCGGACCTAGTAACCCCCTTAGTAACTCCTAACCAAATAAGTAACCCCTAATCCTACACCACCTCAAAGCCTTAAATTTCACCACACCACCACCACCACTCGTACTCACTAACCCACGCCACCAGCAACCACGAGCAGCAACCATGTTGCCACCAATTCTGATCCCCAAAACTACCCTAACCATCGGCAACCACCAACCTCGCCCACCAACCACCAGCAACCCACATTAACCACGCCCACCAATTGTGCCTACCAACCCACACAATGAACCACCAGCAACACACAACAACCCATACCCACTCCGATCCTAAAACCCACCCTAACCACCAGCAACTCCGATCCCAAAACCACCCACACCAACCACGCCCAGCAACCCACACCTGACCACTGCACCTAACCACCGCACCAGATCGACCCACCTCACCCTCCTCACAAGCCGCGCATCTAGATCGACCACCTCACTAGATCGAAAAATGGAGCTTCGAAATTTGGGGGAAATTTTAGGGTTTGGAGCTTCAAGCAATTCCTCATAATCTCACTTGAAATCTGCAATTCACCACAAACATGAAGACGACGGCGGAGATGAAGGTCGATTTGGTTGATTTCGCTGGCAAAGATGAAGCGAAGACGACGGCGATGGAGGTCAGGTTCGTTTGAAGCTTTCGCCGGCAAAGGTGAAGACGAAGACGACGACGACGGAGGTCTGGTTGGTTTGGAGCTTTGATGACAGCGAAGATGGTGACAGCAACGACGTTTTGAAGCTTGGAGGAGAGGATAGGAAAGAGAGAGGAGAAAGAAAATGAAAAAAAAAAAAGAAAAATAATATATATATATATATATATATATATATATATATATATATATATATATATGGCTTGTCGTGTGATAGTATTCCTATCCCCTATGATATTTTATTTATCTTTCAAAATATTAGTGATTTATTTCAGTATAAATGTATAATTAAAGCCTTACCATATATAAGTGTACAATTTCCTCTATAAATATTGGTGCTTCAATCTTACTTGTCACACCAAAACATTTTAAAACCTCAATTCTTTATTTACTCTATCAAATCCATCTTAAAGTTTATAAATATATTTTTGATTTGTTTGGAATGGCTCACAGAAGTGGTAGTGCAAAGCTAGGTTTGTTGCTTGGAGTTGGCATATTGTGCCTCCTTGCTATTACCAAGCCAATCCTTGCCACCGAGTACACGGTAGGTGATGCTGCTGGGTGGTCTTTTAATGTGGAAAATTGGCCTAATGGCAAGTCTTTCAAAGCTGGTGATGTCTTAGGTCAGTTTTCCCCCTCTTTCAAAGCTAGCTATTTTATCTTATTTTATTAAAAATATAATATATTATTAATCATATTCTGTGTTATCATCCTATTTATCATTAATCAAATTTTTTTAAAAAAGTAATGATGGTTTTAATGTATCTACTATTATTCTCATTTTGATAAATAACTAGTGTGTAGCCCGAGCGTTGCATCAGATTGCTTTTTTAATATTCCGTGTGATTATATGTATTTGATATTTATATTGTCTTTTTCTTTTTTAATAATTAGACCTTATGATTATCAATTATATAGTTTTTTTTTTCATGTTTATAAATTATAATATACTCCATAGTTGATAGTTGGTTTAAATGTTTAAATAATTATCTTTCTTATAAGAGGTTGAGTGTTCGATTCCCCTGATGGTGTAGATGACGTAGCATGGTCTACGTGACACAGAAACATTATTAGTAACGCCTTTTAATAAACTAGTAAGATACCCGGGTATATCGTAAATATTTGTTCTCATTTTGACGATTGTTTTTCATTTTACTGAGTTCTAATTCCTTGTTATCAAATAAACTCACTGAATAACATTATAACAGTACTCCGTATACATATACAGTCAGCACTATTTTTTAATTCAAACAAATTATTTTCAATAACTAATTACCATTCCTATGAGGTAAATCATGTGAATCAAACCTTTCAGTTCATGGCTACTCTACCTTCGAACAGAACAAGTGTTGCCAAAATCATCCGACTTTATCTTAATAAGAAAATCAGATGAAAAAAAATTACCCCGAATATAAGTCAACAACGTGAATATTAAGAGAAAGTAATTGATGAGATGTGCTTGAATTAGGATAATTTATGTAGAAAATAAATTTTGCGATTTGATATTGATTATCAAATCTTCAAGATAATCAAATCTCTGGCAGTTTTAACTTGGGGAGGAGTTAAGAGGATCAAATGAAGATTCAAATTGAATATATTGAAGATTATGAATATACGTTATTCAAGGAAATTGCAATATTTGAGTAGAATATGAAATTAATGTTGACCAAGATTTGAGTGGAACATGGAATTAATGCTGAGAATTTCGGAAGCAAATATGCTGCTTTCCCAAAGTAATAAAGATCTTGACAACTTTACAAAACTACAATTATACGCTCAAAGGGAAAATGAATTAAAAATGGGCCTTCCAACATTTGGGCCCTGTGCAGCCGCCCAAGCTGCACATGGTAAAGGGCAGGCTTGGGTACACTCTGAGGTATATAACAAATTTTAAGTTAGTATGTAAGAAAAACTTATTTACAATTGAGTTTTTATTATTATATGGAGTAATATTTATATATACCGTATAAACAAATTAAGAATTAAATTAATTTAGTTTATTTAAGTTAATTATTTGTTTACTTCTCAAAAAATATTAATGACTTATTTTTAACAAAATCAATGTTGTTTTGTAGCATTTAATTATGACAAAGCACAACACAATGTGGCAGTCGTAAGCAAAGAAGGATACCATAGTTGCAAAGCATCAAGTGGATCAAAAGTTTACAAAAGTGGACATGACCAAATCACATTGGTCAAAGGTCAAAGCTACTACATTTGTACTTTCCCTGGCCATTGTGATAGAGGCATGAAGATTGCGATTAATGCAACATAAACAATAATTGTATCATATGTTACATGATAATAATAATGGTTGTAATTACAGTATTCAATAATCGTAATAAAAAGGTGGTTGTCTTTTCTAATTAAATCAATATAATTGCCTGCGACCAGGACATATATACAGATTTTATGCAGCTTATTCTTCATATAACCAAGGCACAATTCATTCATTGTTCTTGAAAATTTGAAGATAAAACCTTATTTATCGAAAATTGAAATGAAACAAACGTATGAACGAATTGGATCAAGCGAAATAAAATTAATTGATGAACGAAACGGACAAAATTTTGACAATGGTTGTGAATTCTATTGATGAATAAAAAAACAAAGAACAATTTTAATTTTCCGATTTTAATTTTTAATTTCGATGATATTAAAAAAATAATTTTGAGTAATTGATATAGAAAATTATAAATGAATTTAGAAAATAAGAAGAAAAAAACTAAGTTATTTTTGTCATTGAATTTAATCAATAAGAAATGTTACATGGATAATTTGAGTCAATCACAATGCGCCACTTAGTTCAACGTATGGTAGTTATATTTAAAATGACAACCGTAAAATCATCCAACTTTTTAAAATAAAATTTTCCCTTAATTTGTTGACATATAACTAGAATGAAAGAAAGTATGTGGTAGATTATGATAGAGTATAAAACATATTCCTTCGCCTCAACCGTCAGCTTAAGCTTTTGGTTGAGTTGGTCTTTCAACATGGTATCGGAGCTAGCGTGACACGAAGGTCACGGGTTCGAATCTCATCCACCCCTCCTTCAAAGTGGAATTAATTCGCGCCTTAGTTTATTCAATATCGCTCATGAAAGTTAGTAGTAAAAGCTGCAAAATTATTCTTTATGTGGTTGGTTATAGCTACGACTAGGGCTGTGCACCGGACTGAAACCCGGAATCGAGTTTTTTTGGGGACCGTATGGACCGGTTACATTATTGTTTATTTTTCTTTTTCATTTTCGTATGTTAATATATACATATATTTTTAACGTCTTGTTTTTGTTTGCGTGTTTTCCTATTTTACACCTAGAATTTATAAATTACAAGTTTTGTACCTAAATTTTTTAGAAATTTAAACATAAAATTTAAAATTTTCACCCAAAAAATTACAAAAATACACATTCCGGTCCAAATCTAAAATATTCTGGTTTTTACCCGGACCGGACCGGAAACCCGGAATCCCTAATTTGTGAGGACCGAAGACCGGACCAGAATCAACCGGTTTGGTCCGATCCGGTCCAATTCCGGTCCGGTCCCGGTTGGTTTTTCGGTCCAGGTCCATTTCTGCACACCCCTAACTACGACTATTTCATGTACACAAATCACGTCAAACAATTTTTTGACGATAATCAAGTTCCGGAAATTTAGGGGAGGTACGGATGAATAATTTAATCATTTGACGATGCACTAGGATGAAATTGTTACCATGTAATAAGAGGTAGTGTAGTAAGATGACTTTCTCAATTGACTAGTAGGAAGTATGATCTTTATTTCTTCTAAATAGTACAGTATTAGAACAAGTAATTAAAGACAAAGTATCCTCTCAAAAAATAAAAAATAAAAAAGAAGTATCCTCTCATACCAAAAAAAATAAAATAAAATAAATAAACAAATAAAATAAAAATAAATTAAGACAAAGTATAAGCCTAGCCTGCAACGTTGAATAATACTTCGTTTGCCTTTGCCATGCTCATCAATTTGATTAATTATATGAGTAAAGCATGTATAAATACAACATTTGAGCTTTTTAATTAATTAGGAAGCTACTCAATTAGCCACCTCCAAGTTGAGATTATAAAAATATCTTTTCAACTAAAAAAAATTCGATCTTCTACCCTATTAATTTACACATTATTTCCCTATATGGCATACCATAATTTCTATGCTCACACACTACTTGTCCTAGTGAGTTTATTAGTGCTAAATTCACCTTATGTAAGAGGAAGAAACCTTAAAGATGTCAAGAGAAAAGATTCATCTCCTACCGAGGAAACTGTCAGAACCATCAAGGTAATGTCTCATTTCGCGTCCTTGATACTAAATTTTTTGTACTTATATGACACGGTACATCTAATCAGATAAAATCTGATACCTGATCGATCATTTAGTAAACTCGCCTACTGTTAGTTTTTGGTGCACAACATACCTAGTATTACTGATACCTATAGGTATAAGCCTATATATTAGGTTGAACTTTCATCAAATGTATCAATTTTTATGTTATTGTGTATCATATACATTCATACCCGATCCGTTGTTCACAATGTCATTTTGAGTACCAAATCCATGCATGTACAACCCTAAGACGTGATATTAATTATTTTCCCGTATTGTCCATTCTTATATTATATTTTTGCTTTATAGGATAACAATGGAGATGTTGTGGATTGTGTTGATATATACAAACAACCAACTTTGAATCATCCCCTCTTAAAGGATCACAAAATACAGGTTCTTTCCTTTCTTATATATTTCGTTCACCATTTTAAATTTCGATCTCTACATTGATAATCGCGTAATCTTAATCATCTTCTCTCTTGTTTTACAATGTTCAAGATGGATCCAAGTTCATCACCACGAAGTAAAACGAATGGAAGAAACTCCCACAAGACTTCTTACAGCCTTGGCATAAGAATGGTAAATGCTCTGAAGGAACTGTTCCAATACAAAGAAGGCAGCTACAACACACACGGTCTAATATGTCAATCACGGGTCCCCACTATGAGGCAAGTCTTCATTCCATCGTTAGACAATTCTTAAATAGACTCATTCTCTTACTAACTCTTTAATAACTCCCTCAGTGGCGGAGCCATAAATTATTAATTGAGGGGGCCAAACTTAATATACTACATAAGTCTTGCAAAAAAAAAAAATTAAAAAATAAAAGTGCAAAGTAAAATAAAAAATTAAAGTGTTGGGGCCAAACTTAATATACTACATAAGTCTTGCAAAAAAAAATTAAAAATAAAAGTGCAAAGTAAAATAAAAAATTAAAGTGTTGGGACTAGATTTTGAACCTGAGGTGAAAATATATTTCATTTCCAACTAAAATCAGCTGAGGTAATAATGACTACCATAATACTTTGCAACCTTTTATACTTCGTATATAATCTATACCAAAGGGGAGGTCATGGCCCACCCCAGCCCTCCTTGGTTCCGTCACTGAGCTCCCTCTGTTCCTTCACAACTTTTCTCTCACAACCGTTATGTTAGCTTCCATTAATTTTTCTTTCTCATCCACTCCCCTCAACAAAAAATTAAATAAGTAATGACTTTATATCAGTACATGATACTATGATAGTGCAAATATATTAAAACAAAATTTTAAAAAGGAGAGAAAGGTACTTGTTTATGCTAATATAGTAAGAAAAAAATGACTGCATTATTGTATATGGATTAATATTTCCAAACAAGATACCTTGCAATTTTGTGCCATTAAGTGTATTGTTTAAGGATATTAAAGCTATATATAAGTATTAAATAAACTTCTGAATTTAGTATAAAGTTAGAAATTCATGACAAAAACACTTAGCTTAATTAAATCGGTGTTATTTATAACAATCTTATTTGTATGAATCTAGTATGCCAATGTGGTAGCATTCCCGTCAACAGAGACAAGGTTTTATGGAGGAGGCGGCCAGCTTAGCGTCTGGAATCCCGCTGTATTAAGAGCAAAGGATTACAGTGCTTCTTCATTGATCGTGGTTCTAAGTGAAACCGCTATGTTATCAGCTGGATGGATTGTAAGTAGATCGCTCGTCTCAAAATATAAGTTTTTTTTTTATCTCTTACACACGTGTTTATGATGAAAAACTATATAGTAGTAGAAAAATAAAATTTTGGGTATTTAGAGAGCTACAATGGCAGAGATGAGAATCGATCACAGGATCTCCTAGAATCGTCGAATCGAGAGTGAAGCTCTAACCACTTGAGCTGTCTCACACTCTCAGAAAACTAAAATTGTTAGTATTGTTAAATTGAAAATTTCATCATACATTAGGGTGTACCATGCTATATGTTACGGAGTATTTATATTTCATCAAATATATTTTGGAGTCTAATCAATATGTTTTTTGTGTCCTAACTATATTTTACGGAGTATTTATATTACAAACAATGTTCTTCAAGATATATAAATTAAGTATGTTCTTTACACTTGAATAATATGTTCTTAAATTTTGAATTTTGAAATTTTAAAATTTAAAAATGAAATTTTGAATTATATTTTGGTGAAAATAATTTTATAAAGAGAAATTCTTGACACATATCTAAATAATTTTAAATTATTTGACTTTAAATTTCTGGTAAAACTCAATTAGTAATTATCTTTTACCTTTTTTGAATATCATTTATTAGAAATTATTTTGTTCTTTATATTTCAGTGATATGTTCTTTTATAAATTCATGATGTTCTTTATAACTATATACGATGTTCATTCTGCTTTAATTCAGGTGTACCATGCGCATGGTATAGCTGGGTGTACGAACCACTAATCTAATATATATAAATAAACTAGGCATTTTTGGAGAGCATTGAGAGCGCCACATAAGAAAAGGTATATTTTCGACCAATCAAAAATTAGATTTTTATTTTATTTTAGAATTAAAAAAATCACTTGCCACCTAAAAAAAAGTGGCGAATGAAATTTTAATCTTTTGCCACGTAGGTAAAAATGACGAATAGTAATTTATTAGGATTTTAATTATTTAAGAACACTAAATTTTATCATTTTTATTTGTTACAAAACTAAAAATTATCATTAGATATTAGGATTTATATTATTTAATAAACTAAAAATTATATTTTGATATTTAAAAAATATAAACTATCATTTGATTTGATGTTAATGGTTTTATGTAAATATATGATGATATGATACTTTCGTACAAAATTTTAAAACTTATAATGCAAGAAAAAAAATTAAAAGATCTCCAAAAAAATATTTATATACAAAATGTATATTAAAGTTTGTGCATCACACGCCACATAAGCAAAAGTAATATTTCGACCAATGAAAAATTAGATTTATAATTAATTTAGAATTTTAATTTTCAGTCGCCATTTAAGAAAAAATTAACAAATGAAATTTGAGAATTGAAAACAAAAAATAGTAATTTAATATTTAAATTATGAAAAAAAACAAAAATTATCTTTTATATTATTTTTACATTAGGATTTATATTATTTTAACAAATAATTAGAAATTAAAAAATATATTTTGATTTAATGATTTTATCTAACTATCCGATGAATGAGATAATATTTATTTCAATTTATATATTCAAATTCTATATACGTAAAATTTGAATAAGAATAATTTACGTTAAATTAATGTTAAAATAATAGAATAGAAAATAAAAACAAAAAATATTAAGAAATTAAAAAAAATATATACAAAATGAAATATTTAAAACCGTGCATCGCACGAGCTTACATCTAGTTGCTTAATTAAATTAAGAAAGATAGTGAAATTTGTTTTACTAAGATTGTATTAAAAAAAAAATAGTGAACTTCGGTAAATTAAGGTGAATACAAGAATTAGCGAAATGTGAGACTTTCTTTAAGAATAAGATATTTGTATCAAGTGAAACTCTCATTTGGAGATGAAGGGAGAAGAAAAGATTGCTGTATGCCTTAACGTTTTACAGGTACCAAATCTTCCCAAGCATCATGTTAATGTCTCTTACTAATAAAAGATGAGCTAAACATTTTATACGGTTAAGGGCCTACTCCTCCATCATACATTGTATATTATTTACTACTTGTACACAGTTTTGGAATTGAAACTCTTTTGATCTTGTGAATTGGAGTCTATCAATCTATCGTAATGATGGGTGTGACATATACCCGTATTTAGCATGGAGTAGTATCTATCAAAGTTATCACTCATGCGATACAGGCATATGTTGTTACTCGTTAAATTTACTAACATCTAATATCTAATTTCTCTTGCAGGTAAATCCAGGACTATATGGTGACTTCCAAACAAGATTTTTCATTTATTGGACAGTAAGTATGCATGATCAATATCAACATTTGTTAGTTACATCAGTCTCCTTCATTCTTCAGAGTTTAGAGATTATTCAATTCATCTTCTTACTTTAACTTATGCATTAGTCTTGCCAATTTCTTCTCATTGAATCAATATTTTTCTATGAATTGAAACAGACAGATGATTCCATAAACACTGGTTGCTATGATCTTCATTGTGAAGGCTTTGTGCAAGTCAACAAAAGAGTTGATCTTGGTGCCGCCATGGAATCAATTTCTACAATTGGCGCGAAAAGCCACCTTTCTCTCCGAATACTTATTTTCTTGGTATAGTTCTATACAACTTCCTAGAGTCAGACAAGTACTTATTACCAATGGTTTCAGAGAAATATATCACACAACTGTACTATTCATTTTCAATCCAATTCCGATCTTTTTAAATCGAAATAGGAAAAATAGTGACTATAATTCTAATCACCAATTTTCGTCTATAATCTTACTATCTTTGAATAATTTATGGTTAAATATGATTCTAGGAATTGTTACGAAATCATAACACACACCGACTATCCATATACTATCTCAGTTTTTAATACTTGCAACACACCTTTTTTGACACATTATTTGAGAAACTAATTAGAAAAAGTAACAGACGAATTAGGTAATGAAGCTGTAAAACTTAAATTGTAACTACTCAACACTTTCTTTTACTTGATATTCCAATTACATTGTCAGTTTTCGTAGTCTAATATCTTCTATAAGTACATACCAAGTTATTTGTTGCAAGTAAATAAAAACAGAGATTATCGAGCTAGGGTACAATTACGTTTTTCAACTTTGATTTATTGGTTGGTTATAACATAACATTTACAGGATCGAACGACTGGAAATTGGTGGCTTAGAGTAGGTGGAGAAGCTATAGAATTTGGCCTGCAGCCCTCTTTACCAACATACCAGAAGGAGCAGAGAGATTAACGTGGGGAGGCCAAATCTTTGACTCTCTAGGCAATGGGCAACACACGAGTACAGACATGGGTAACGGATTATTTCCTGATGTAGGGACTAACGAAGCTAGCCTCGTTTGTTTCCTAGAATACGTCGATAGTTCATTCACACGTCGCTCACCATTCCGATCAACACTAAGGCTACATGTGACGAATCCCTTGTGTTATGATGCGCAGCTCCTCCCTAGTTTAGACACGAAAAGTGGTCTTTGTTTCTTATTTGGTGGCTCCGGCCTTAATCCAAATTATCCATAGTGTGGTTTTATACACAAAGTACATACATAGTCAGGGCCGTAGCAATGATTTTGGGGGCCCTGTTCCAAATTGAAAAAGAGACCCTTAATAATGTGAAATTTATACAAATTTGTTACCTATAATTTAGGCAATGCACAATTTTCCAATATATACATTACGAAATAAAAAATGCTTTCGTATAACAATGAAATCGAACCATATAAGTATAATAATAACATTATATTTATAATAATAGTGTCACATACGCTGATTACAATTATACTAGGCCCGTAAAAACCATCAAGATTATAACAAATAGCCAATCTAACATTCTAACCCAAACCAAAGCAAAAAAAAAACAACAAATTAAAATTCTAACTACATGTTGCAAAATAAAAAAAATAAAAAAAATCAACTACTCCGTAGCTGTGAAATAATACTCAGTAGGAATGATGAACATATTTCGTAAAATACAATAAATAACCCATAGAAGAATTATAAACTATAATTATTCTTCTCAAACGGTGGGTTATCTTCCCCCATTGTTCAATCATCTATTCATCTATATTATAATTATAGAAAATGAAAATTAATTGATCACCATTATTATGGAAGAAAAACCATTTGAATTTGACTGAGTATATATATTTTTTTTCCGTTAAAAATCCTTGAATGGAGAAATAGGAAATACAAGTTTACATGAAATTCATTGATGTAATTATGATAGTATTAATTTGTATTGATGGAGGAATTTGGAAAATTATAGAATTTAATATGGAAGTTAGAATAAAGAGAGGAAAATATGAGCGTGATACAAGAAGACTATAAGTTTACAGTTTTTTTTTGTTTTCTTTACAAAAATAAGAATATTAAAAAAAAAAATTGGGCCCCTTTAAAATTGGGGCCCTGTGCAAGGGGGCACCTTGCACTTGCTCTTCTACGGGCCTGTACATAGTTTTTGCCACTTAATGAATGTGGTTTTGTACATGGACGAGTGTGATTGTACTGAATTTGTAATGTGTATTGACATGTTTGTTAATTTGACTGTGTCCGATCCATTATTCAGAAACGGAGAAAGTATTTCAAACTTTTTATAGATAGTAAAGAAAAATAAAAATAGTGAATGTTTGACATTTTCAAAGGACTTCAATCAATTCCTTGCTGCCTTGAGCAATTGAATATAACGCATCAATTAACAAAAGATTATTCATATATGAAGTGAGTTTAGAAATATAGTTAACAAATGCTCCGTAAACAAAGTAAAAAAATCAGTAAAACTTACCCTTGATATCAGGATAAAGCAGCATGAAATGAGTTGATGATGAAGAAAGAGCATTTTCATTTGTTTGACTTATGATCATATCCGTGCAACAATTTATTATTATTTATTAGAATATGATAAATATTCTAGTTATTATTCTGTATAGAAGGATATAGTTTGTGAATATTTTGTAAATATCTTTTGAGATTTCCTAAGGTGATTAGGTCTCAACATTGTAACCCTATATATATGAATCAATGGAATACACTCCAATCTAAGGAGTTTGATAAAATTTGACATGGTATCACAGCCAAGGTTACGATCCAATCTTCGCTTCCGCATCTTTTACTAATTTTTTTTTATTATTTCTGTTATTTTATTCCAAGCCCTAGCCGCCACACCTCCTCTTCCCTTAGACACCAAACAGTCCGGCCACCATGACCAAAGACGCTGAAAACTCGAACAACAACAAATCATCTTCTTCCTCTGAATTTCATCCTGCTTTCGGGGTGAATAACATCAAAAACGTCTTCCCTCTTCTCCTTGAACGTGGAAAGGTTCACTATTCGAATTGGGTTGAGTTATTTGAGTGTCATTGTCATGCTTACAATGTTCTTGATCATATTGATCCAAAAACATCGAAACCTACGGATTTGTCCGATGATATGTGGAAAAGACTCGATTCTATTGTCAAGAATTGGATTTATGGCACTATTTCCAGTGATTTGCTAGAAAGTGTCTTAAGTAGAGGAGATACGGCACAACAAATATGGGATAAATTAAAGGATATTTTTCAAGATAACAAAACAACTAGGGCAGTGTATCTTGAAACTCAGTTTAATAGCTTGCATCTCTCCAATTTTTTGGATATTTCTTCTTATTGTCGTGAATTGAAGAGTATCAAAGATCAACTTGCTAATGTTGATCAACCCGTGTCGGAGCAAAAATTGGTAATTCGGTTAGTGTCAGGGCTCGTGGGCACTGATTTTGATACGATGGCTGCAATGATTCAACAAAAGGATCCTCTGCCTTCCTTTGAAACAGCAAGATCACGTCTCATGCTTGAAGAATCACGCCGTGCTAATGATTCTATTGCATCTGCATCCTTGTTTGTGGCGCAATCCGACAACTCGGCCTCCTCACACACCACCACACCGCAACAACACTAGCCTCAAGCCACTGGTCGTGGGGGTGGCACTGGGGGCCGTGTCAAAGGTCGGGGCAGGGGCAAGGGTCGTGGTCGAGCCACTGGCCAGCATCAGCAAGTCCTGCAACAGCAGGGAGCCCCGCAATGGGGGCAGCAGCAGCAAGGCCCCCCGCAATGGGCACCAGCAGCACCTGAATGGGGCCAGCCCCCCTATCCATACCCGCAACATCAAGCACCAAGGCCTGGCTATGCTGCCCCGCCTCAAGCACGTGCACCAACAGCCTACTATGCTGCGCCTACCCCTCCCATGGCGCCATACTAGCAGCCTCAGCAGCCATCATATGGGTCTCAAGGGTCGGAGTATGCTGCAGGGATGACTCCAACCGAGCTCGGGTACGCTTTTGCAACAATGGGCTTCCAGAATTATGACCCATCTTGGTACATGGATTCCAGTGCAACATCACATATGACCAACAACGCCGGTAATCCCTTACCCCTTTTGAATTTAAGCACTAATAATTATATTCAAGTCGAAAACGGTCAACGCATTCCAATTACGGGTTATGGTCATTCTAGTATAGCTAATAAATCCCTTGCTTTGCGTGATGTTTATTTAGCTCCACAGATCATCAAAAATTTAATCTCTGTTCGTAAATTTACTTCTGACAATTCTGTGTCCATAGAATTTGATCCTAGTAGTTTTTCTGTGAAGGATCTACGAACGGGGAAAATTCTAACCAGATGTAATAGTGTGGGGGATCTTTATCCAGTGACCACATCTCCGTCAACTTGTCTAGCCACATCTCTCACGGCCTTATCTCCTTCCATATGGCACAACCGTCTAGGACACCCCGGAGCTCCCACTTTAAGCTTTCTTAGGAAAAATAAATTTATTGATTGTAATAAAGAGCAAGACTCTACTGTTTGCGTAGGTTGTCAATTAGGGAAGCATGTTCGTTTGCCTTTTCATAACTCAAATAGTACTACTGTTTCAGCTTTTGATATAATTCATGCAGATTTGTGGACCTCACCTATTCGTAGTGACAAAGGGAACAAATATTATTTAGTACTTTTGGATGATTTTACTCAGTATGTGTGGACTATTCCTCTTTCGTTCAAATCTCAAGCTTTTCAAACATTTCTCAATTTTCGACAATATATTCTCACACAATTTGGAAGACCCATCAAGTCTTTTCAGAGTGATCATGGTCGTGAGTTTGATAATGACCCCCTTAAATTGTTTTGTGTCAAAAATGGGTTGGTTTTTCGCTTCTCTTGTCCTCACACATCATCTCAAAATGGCAAAGTCGAAGGCATGATTCGTACCATTAATAATGTCAAACGAACTCTCTTGTTTCATGCTCCTTCCGCCGTCCTTTTGGCACTATACCCTTGAAACGGCTACTTATATGGTCAACATTTTACCAACCAAAACTCTCAATAAAATAACTCCGGCTCAAGCTCTTTTTGGGGTAGTACCTTCCTATAGTCATCTTCGGGTTTTTGGGTGCCTTAATTTATCCGCCCCTGCTCCCCATAAATTAGCACCTCGCTCCACTCCTTGTGTGTTCTAGCTTAGGATACCTGGCCGATCATAGAGGTTATCGTTGTCTAGATCTTGCAACTCAAAAAATCATTATCTCGAGACATGTCACTTTTGACGAAAATACTCTTCCCTTTAGTAATCTAGGGAATTTTTCTTCTTCCAATTATGATTTTTTACCTCTAATCATCCCTCTCCATACTTCTAACACCATTTTATGCCTCGTGGCTCGGCCCAAAATCCCGAAGCTCATGCTCCAACACCCACACAACCTATTCCGCAGCCAGGGCGCGGCACACAGCTGCATACCGCAGCCCAGCTGCGGAGTACATTGCCTGGCCAAGCAGCGCAGCACAACACCCCGCAGGCAGGCCGCGACACACAACTGCAAACCGCAGCCAGCCTGTGGAGTACCCTGCCAGGCCACGCTGCCCAGCAGCAGCTCACCCACAGCCCCCTGCACTCCCCTGCTGCTGGCACGACAACCCACCTGCCACCCTCACCTGGTGTCCCTTCGCCTCCAAACATCCCAAACACTTACACACCACCTCCACTCCGTGTCTATACACCAATTACACCTACTCGACCACTGCCAACCTCTCCACAAATGCAAACCCGCTCCAAGCATGGAATCTTTAAACCAAATCCTAATTTTGGTTTAACTGTCACCACTCCCACTTCCAAAAAATCACAGACAAGCCCTTTTCGACCCAAATTGGAATGCTGCGATGCGTGATGAATATAGTGCTTTAATTGATACGGGGACTTGGGAATTGGTTCCTAGACCTACGGGGGTGAACATTGTCAATTGCATGTGGTTGTTTCGACATAAATTGAATGCTAACGGTGATCTTGAACGACACAAAGCGCGTTTAGTTTGTGATGGCAGGTCTCAGGTGGAAGGTATTGATTGTGATGAAACCTTCAGTCCGGTTGTTAAACCGGCCACTATTCGCACTGTTTTGAGTTTGGCTATGGCTCGCAGGTGGTCAATTCACCAACTTGATGTCAAAAATGCCTTTTTGCATGGTGATTTGAATGAGTGTGTGTACATGCATCAACCCCCCGGGTTTGTTGACAAGGAGTTCCCAGGCTATGTTTGCAGACTCCGCAAGGCATTGTATGGTCTTAAACAAGCTCTGCGAGCTTGGTATCAGCGGTTTTCTAACTATCTTTTGCAGATGGGATTTGTCATTTCAAAAATGGACAATTCATTGTTCATTTTTCGACATGGGAATGATATGGCATACTTGTTATTATATGTTGATGATATTGTGTTGGTTACTTCTTCAAATTTATTACGTGATCGCATCATCTCTCACTTACGCACCGGGTTTCCTATGACTGATCTTGGTCCGTTGAATTTTTTTCTGGGTATTTCTGTCACTCGTACTCCTTCATATATGATTTTATCTCAACAAAAGTATGCTCAGGAGATTTTAGAGCGCGCAGGCATGAGCAGTTGCAAGCCTGCGGCAACCCCAGTGGACACTCAGTCCAAACTCAGTGCAGAGTGCGGTCCTAAATTTTAATGATCCAACACTTTATCGCAGTCTTGCAGGTGCATTACAGTACCTCACCTTCACTCGCCCTGATATAGCCTATGTCGTACAGCAGGTTTGTTTATTCATGCACGATCCCAGGGAGGCACATTACAATGCATTGAAACGCATCCTGCGATACATTCAGGGTACCATTGATCACGGGTTACATTTATATCCTTCATCTCCTACACACTTGATTACTTATACAGATGCAGACTGGGGCGGATGCCCGGACACACGTCGGTCTACTTTGGGTTATTGTTGCTTTCTAGGGGACAATCTGGTTTCCTGGTCTTCTAAGCGTCAACCTACTCTCTCAAAATCAAGTGCAGAAGCAGAATACAGGGGCGTCGCAAATGTTGTTGCCGAGGCATGTTGGCTACGTAATCTTCTTTTGGAGTTACACTGTCCTCTTCGTAAGGCCATTGTTGTTTATTGTGATAATGTTAGTGCAATTTATTTATCTCATAACCCCGTACAACACCAACGCACCAAGCACATCGAAATGGATATTCATTTCGTTCGAGAAAAGGTGGCGTTGGGGCATGTACGGGTCTTGCACATTCCGTCACGTTATCAGTTTGCAGACATTTTCACGAAGGGCCTACCTCGACAACTGTTTTTGGAATTCAGATCCAGTCTTAGCGTCCGTCCTCCTCCCGCTATGACTGCGGGGGTGTGTTAGAACATGATAAATATTCTAGTTATTATTCTGTATAGAAAGATATAGTTTGTGAATATTTTGTAAATATCTTTTGAGATTTCCTAAGGTGATTAGGTCTCAACATTGTAACCCTATATATATGAATCAATGGAATACACTCCAATCTAAGGAGTTTGATAAAATCTGACATTATTATTATTATTATTATTATTATTATTATTAGGAAAAATTGATAAGAATAATCCCAACTTTGGATTATTATTTAATAATCCGAACTTTAGTGTGAATTTTTTATTAATGGTCCCAACCGGTTTTTTAACTTGTAATAATAAGTTAAATGACACGTGTTAGAGTGTAATTGGCCAAAAAGATAAATAAATTAAATTACAAAAAAATTAAAAAATAATTAACTAAAAAACCCACTACCGTCACCAGCCCAAACACCGTCCCTGCCCCCACTCATGGTCCCTCGCCCAACTCTCTTGCTCCGGTACCTACTTCCTCGTTGCTTCCAGACCCACGATTCTCCTCGCCGGCTCTTCCCCTACTGTTATCCCTAAACCACCATAGCAAAACCCCCCGCTAAAACTCAAATAGCCATTGATTTTGGTGAAAGTCTAGAAGATACTTTTCAAGGGTTTGGTTCTGATTTAGAGGAGGAAGATTGTTAATGGTTAATGGGCTTCTTAATGTTGATGGTTATGGTGATGATTTTGAGTATAATTTCGAGTTCGTTGATGATGATTTCGTGGGAGGAAAAGGGGATTTCGTGGTGGGGTTGCGGTGGTTTAGTGGCGAAGCAGGCGGTAGGGGAGGGGAAGCTCCGGCGAGGGTAATCGGTGGGTATGGGCTCGACGGGGGTGGGGGTAGGGGCGGAGGGTTGGGCGGAGTGTAGGGGCAGGGAGGTTTGCTGGTGGTGGTGGTTTTTTTTCATTATTTTTAAATAATTTGTTATATTTACTTAATTAAGTGTTGTTTAGTAACTAATAATAGTTAATTAGTATAATTGACCAATCACGTGGTGACATGTGTAAGTTAATTTTTTGTTAAAAAAAATTTACCCATTCAACCGGTTTTAGGTCACCTGGGATCATTAGAAGAAAATTCACATTAAAGTTCGGATTATTTAAAAATAATCTAAAGTTGGGATTATTTTGGACAAATCGAGCAAAGTTGAGATTATTTTTGTCAATTTTTCCTTATTATTATTATTATTATTATTTTTATTATTATTTATTTTATTATTATTATTATTATTATTATTATTATTATTATCAAAAAAACAAAACCTACAGAGTCAATCAATTTACAAGAAATTGGTAGGGAGCCGAGATACAATCTGGGCCCCCACCCCTCTAGCTATAGCGAACCCGATCCTTCTGAAGATGTGAGCAGCTGCACGAGCACCAATATCCTGAGTCTTAGCGAACGCCTGAACCCGCTTCAGCAATGCAATAGCATCCTTCTCTAATTCCCCCAACGAAGAAAAGGAGAAAGGAAGAAAACCATAGCCAATAGTCCTGCAACGCGCCCCATACTTGTCCCGCTTCCGATGAGCCGCCGCCGACACAACACGACCAGGAACGAAGTCAGACAACCCCGATTGTGTCAAAGGTGAAGACCCCGTAAAATCAACACATACATCAAGGCCTCTATCCCAGGAATAAAGCAGCACATCTGCAGGTCGTAGAGCCCCGTCGTTTCCTCCAATCAACCCAATGTTAACCTCCTTTCGAGCAGAGATTCCAGACCCAAAACAAATATCAACAAGGGTGTCACGAACAACATTGTGCCGATGTTTTTTACCCACCATCCCAGCACAAGACACTGCATGATCCCCATAAATATCCCCGTCAAAAACCCTAGAGCAAGCAGAACACGGTGTTGAAACGGAGAACAAAGGAACACCTAACTGGTAGCAAAGAACACTACGGTAAGCCTTACCATTCATAGTCTGACCCAAACCCGATATCGGGACCGTCCGCAACCAGGCCAAAGAGTGATCCCCTGCTAGGACTTCCATAAGGCTACCTGACGCGGAGTTAAGGAGAAAGTGGAATCCGCAAATGCAGTGACCTTCGAGAAATATATATCTGCCAACTTTATTATTATTATTATTATTATTATTATTATTATTATTTTATTTATTTATTTATTTTTTGTTAAGAGAGTTACAAGGACGAGTGATAAGAATCGGTTTCAGGATCATCTGAAAATCTGAAAATCGAGAGGAAAACTTTAACCACTTGAGCTATTCCTCACTCTCTGCAACAAATTGTTGTTAAATGAGTATCTCAACCAAAAACTTAAACTGGTAATTAAAGCAAATGAATAAATTTTTATACTCTATCAATTTGTGATTGGATAAGCTAATAGCAATGTCCATGACGATGTACGTACTTTCTTTAGCATTATCGGTCTGCTTGACCAGTAAATCATCTATAGATGTTCTCATTATGCTTAGAGATAAATGCATAATAGATTTGGTTGTCTTCCTCATCATCATCGTTTTTAGGGGTGGAACAAAATTAAATTAAAAGGTGTGGCGGAGTTACTTGTACTTACTTATATGTGTTACTTGTATTCTGAGATCATTAGTTTGACTTCATGGGGATCATTAATTTTCCTTTAATTTGACTTTAAGAGGGACCAAGTCAAAAGTACAATGCTATTAATGAGAATAGCTTAAAATTAACATATTTCCATAGACTCAAGTGATTAAATTTTAATTTCCCTCCCAATTTCAGGTGATATTATGGTCGATTCTCATTACTCATCCTTGTTCATTATTTAATAGCGACCATGTCAATATCTCGCTAAGACCTTATTCAACAAGCAAGAAAGCCTACTCTATTAATGAATGATCCATGCCATTTTGTTCAACTTAATGTGGAAAAGCAGCAACTCCCTACTATAAAAGTATAAAGCACCATATTTTGAGCTAATGGACTTAATAATTTAATATCCAGGTTCAGTAAACCAAATAGTTTTCACTTATGGCTTTCGAGTATCTTCGTTTTCTTGGACTATGCCACTTGATGCTACTTCTCTTATTGGGTGTGTTAGTGTTAGATTTATCTCATGTCGTCGTTAAAGGTAAACGTCTCGAACCTAAGGAGAGTAACTACAATTTAGCTCATCCCAAGGGAATTGTCAAAACCATTAAGGTATTGAGATGATATGCTAATTAAGCTGATTACTATTTCTCACCTATCTTGTGTTTGAGTTGCAATTTTTTTTTATTAATTTTTTTTTTGGTTCTATAAATCAGGACGAAGATGGGGATGTGCTGGATTGCGTTCATATACACAAACAACCAGCTTTTGATCATCCTATCCTCAAGGATCACAAGATACAGGTATTATGGAAGCTTCTTATTAATTTGTTACAAATTGTAAGAAGATCAAAGATTTTAAACTGTTCGTAGATAACTTCCTCCTTGAATTACTTTTCTTTTTAGATGATAATATTTTTCTATCTCGGGAGATTTTTCTGTGTGACCGGTGTTACTTGGTTAGGGGTTATAGAGTCTCAATCTAATTCATATTAAATTTGTTAAAAAGGAGGGGTAGATGAAATTTGAACCCATAACATTTGTGTGACAATGACATACCATATTAAATGGCCAACTCAATAAAAAAAATATAACCTTACAGTTTACTGAGTTTAGGCCCATGAATGTTTAATATTCTATCAAAAATAAATCCAATAGGTTTCCTTTTAAGTATACCTTTTTGTGACAAAGACCCTTTTATAAAAAAAGATGGCACAAAAGGTCCTTATATCATGTTTGGGTTGTGAGGAGGGTCCTTTGATTATTTTCCGGCGTTGACTTTTTTATTTTCCTGTCAAAAAAAGTCACATGTAAAGCACGTGACTTATTAAGTTCCCTTTATTCCCTATTTTCTCATTGTGGAGGGGATTAGCCTTGGATTACTTTGAATACCCTTCAAATTTTTTTATTTTATGGGATTACAATTGAAGTTTTGGTGCTAATTGTTTTCAGAAATTAGGGTTTAAGAGGGGGAAAAAAGGGGAAAACGAGGGAAAAGAGGAGGGAGATAAAAGCGAACTTAGATGTGACTTTTTTAGCCGGGAAATAGAAAAGTCAATGCCGGAAATGGTCAAAGGACCCTCCTTACAACCTAAACATGATATAAGGACCTTTTGTGCCACATTTTTTATAAAAGGGCTTTTGTCACAAAAAAATATTTACTTAAAATGACCTTCTTCACAAATTTTCCTTGTGTATATGTAACAATGAAAATTGATATTTACGGACCTACCTTTCGAGAAATCTTACATGAATGAATCAATAAAGTCGGTTTTTTTTGTAAGGAAAAATGAATCAAAGTCGGATGTTATTATATCATATGTACCATACCTAAGTTAGTATTTTTTTTTTTTCTTTTTTTTACGAGATGTGGAGTACAAAATTTTATTTTGATAGCTTTCAATTAGCTAAAAACCTTAATTATTTTTTTCTTGTAACATGTGACCTAACTCTTAAGATGGATCCAAGTTCATCACTTAGAAAGATCAACCAAGGCAACTCGGCCCCGCAATTCATACAGCCATGGTACCAGAAGAACACATGCGCCGAAGGAACTATCCCAATCCGAAGAAGGCGACTTCAACACCAGCATCCTAATAATAGAAAACAGTCTAATAACACCATCAAAGGTCCACACTTTGAGGCAAGTTTACGACACACAAAATCTAAGCCAATGAAGCCACCATATTTTGAGTTTGTAATTGCATGTTAAGCTATATTGTTTTATGTAGTATGCGATGTTACAAGCACAACCTTCACCCGGGACGCGGTTTTATGGAGGAAGTGCAAAAATAAGCGTATGGGATCCTTTCGTATATAGGCAAGATGATTTTAGTGACTCTACATTGGTTGTCCAGCTTAATCCACTAGGTTTTTTGAAGGCTGGTTGGATTGTAAGTACAAAGTAGATCAAATACTTGAAAATTCTTATAATTAGTTTCATAATTATATACTTAAATAGTTATTTATTTATGTCCTTTATATGTGCCTATAATATTCCCAGTTAATCTCTAGGATAAATAAAATTTGTTTCTCACATGACATTTTGGTAAATAAATCAACAACTTTATCTAGTCATCATTACTATGAGACCTACTTTTATTGAAAAAGTTGCTGATTTATTTACAAAATTTTGTGTATCTCGGAGATTAACTTGTATTTACCGCTATAAATATATATTCAATTTGCAGGTTTACCCTGAGCGATATCTTGACTTCAGACCAAGACTTTACTCATACTTTACGGTAATAAATTCTCTTTTCAGTAATCTAAAAGGTTTCACTCGATCTTGAAGATGTCCATCCTACATCCCGCGTGTAAGATTACATTATCATGGTTCATTGGGAATTCAGTAACAACTAACAAGTATTAGGAAAGTGAATATTCATGCTCATACTTCATTACAAATTAAATGCTATGATTGCTACCATATAAATTAGAAAGCCCTATTACTAGTACTATGAATGCACAATAATATAGATGGACTAATGTGAGCTAATAAAACTTAGAAACACAACTAAGAATTGAATTTCAACATAACATGCTATCTATACATTGGATATTCGTTCTTTAAGGGATACAAGCTAAGTCCGACATTATGGTCATCCTAATATCAATTAGTGATATTTGTCAGAAAAATAAAATAAAATAAATTAGTGATAGGTTGTGTACGTGGAGTAACCCACAAGAATTTTAAGTTAGTTGGTCAAACTTCCTCTTGTTCTTCAATGTAACACGACTTGTCTCAACTCACATATATATCGGTTAATTAATATATTAGTGGGTGTAAAATTGTAATATATGCCTTGCTAGAAAGGAACTAATTAGGTAGGGAAGATACATTAATTGTTTTTGTAATTTTGGGATCGTTAAACTTTATGTCTCTCACACTCTTCTCTCCATATGCCAAGGCACAAAATTACACCCGAGTATAGAGAAAATTTATATGTTTACATTTTGACTCATGTACATGCACAAATTTTCTTAAATTATTGTACTAAAACATCATTATTGTGTTAATTTTAACAGATAGATAATTCCACAACTTCTCGCTGCTGGGATTTGGATTGTGATAATGGGTTTGTGCAAGTCAATAATACTTACGCCCTGGGTAGCTTCATATTACCAGTTTCAACCATAGGTGATGAGAGTTATTATTGGATTGATGTATCTATATTTCAGGTACGATATAAATATTTAATTTGATTGTTTTATTTTTCATGCTTTAGAAAAAGGTCATGTGACCTGCACATGAGGTCAACGACGGAAATGACCAAGTCAATGCCAAAGTATGAGTCTTGGTTGTCTTGAAAAAAAAATTTACAATCTGGTTTCTGGTTGTCAAAAAAAGTTTAAAAGGTTTTTGTCATATGTTTCTACCGTGTTATTCTTCAAAAAATGATACCATAACATGATGATGTGTCATGTTATGATTGCTCTATTTTTGATTTATTTTTAAAAGCCTAAATATACTGAGTAAAGCACAAATATGGTCCCTGAGCTTTCGTATTTGTGCACTTTTAGTCCCTCAACTTTCATTTGTGCACTCTTGGTCCCTCAACCACCACTCTTGGTGTTTCTGACCAAAAAGTTGAGGGACTTATCCTAATCAGCAAAAGTTTAGGGATCATGAGTTATTATTTATTTATTTTTCTTTTTTTTAGCTATTGATATTAATATTTATTACTTACTTTGACTAAAATAAGAAAGAAAACTTTAATTAGTAACCTTTTAAACACCACCAGCACCCTCCTTGTACCACCACTCTCTCACCACCATTTAGATATGAAACTCCACCACAACCACCAAAAATCCACCCGATCAACTCGCACCACCAGCAACACCCCACCTAGTAACCACCCTCTCACAGTCTAACCACCACCGAGATCTGAAACCCCACATCACTACCCTTAAGATTGAAACCCCACCAAATCACCACCACTTGAAACCCCACGTCACCACCCACCAGGCCACCAACGAACCGAAACCCCCATATCACTAACCACCATTAACAACCCAAAACTCCACATCACCAGTCACCATCACCACTAGCGAAGAAAATCCCAAACTCATCACCACCAATGAATCGAAACCCCACCTTACCATCACATAGATCTGAAGCACACCTTACCATCGCAAAGATCATAAACGCACAACCACCAATACCTACCTCACCCATATTGTTAAAAAAAATCATCAAACCCTACCCAAATTACGAATCGAAAACCTTGAAAAGGGAATGAAGCAACAACTTTAAAAGGGGGAAAAGGAGGCGACGAACTGACAAGGTGGAAGGCGGCGGATATGAAGAGAACGGATGCGAATCGATTAAGTAGTGGTGGTGGTGTGGTGATTGTGAGAGAAGAGGGAGCCATTGTCGGAGCTTGGCTAATTTTTTTTATGGGTGGGAGCCATTGTTGAAGGAGATGAGGGAGTTGTAAGCCATGGAATAATTATTTAAATCTGACAAAAAAAAAAATATTATCACATTAAGGTTAATTATGAAAGTAGGATTAAGTTTTGGTTATACTGATTCAACTGGGCCACGTGGCTAATTTCAGTCCTAAACTTTTTTTCATCATCACATTAGCCACCTCACTTATAAAGATTCTTATTAAATAAATAAATCTGAAAAAAAAAATAATATTATTGTTGACTCAAGGTCCCTAAACTTTCGCTGACTAGGCAAGGTCCCTCAACTTTTATGTTAGAAACACCAAATATGGTGGTTGAGGGACCAAAAATGCACAATTGAAAGATGAGGGACTAAAAGTGCACAAATACGAAAGTTTAGGGACCGTATTTGTGCTTTACTCTAAATATACTATACATGTATGTATAATTGTAAATACATGTATTTTTTAAAGAATACATAATTATAGCTTTTTGAAATTTATTTTTTTCTTATTAAAATCATTTTCGAAAATTAAATTATAAATAAAATTTAGAAATTAAAAAATTCATCATTGTTTTTCATTCACGATAGTAACTAACCACTCTTGTAATCTTGTATAATCTATTCGTAACGCTGACAAAAATTCCGTCAAAAATTCCGTTCAAAATTCGAATATAAATTTTGTTTTATGGTTCGATTGATGATTTTGATTAATGTAAAAATCACATTATTTATTAGTTTTGAGAATGAAAAAAGCATTAGGAACGTGTATTATGATAATATAAATGCAGATCTTTCATTTTTTGTTAAACGATGAATGGATAATCAGGGTTTGCTCTTTGATCCGAAATCTTGTTTTGCAATTTTTGTAATCTGTTTGTGGTTAGCTAATCACCTGTATTTAGTTAGGTCATTACCTTAAAAATTAGTTTAAATTTTGTAGTTGGAATCTACTTGTACACTAATCGTATAACAATACAAATGATTTATGGAATTTATATCATATAATTTTAGCAAAAAATGTTTTTGGGATCACTATCTTATTATATTTTGGAAAAAATATTTTTGAAATTTTTATCATATCATTTTAGCAAAAAATATTTATGGGATAATTATCTTATTATATTTTGGAAAAAATATTTTTATTAGTGGCAATAATGTTGGGATATTCCTAATTAGCTTTTTATTCACCTTTTTTTGTGTATTATCAGGCAAAGATTGTTTAAGTCATTACCTAACTCTGAAACAACTTCGAGAAAACTTAATTACATTTATAAGATTAAACAGAGGTTGCGGTAGGTAAAAAATTTCGACCCACTTCATCTTCTACAAACTTGATACTCTTTGTTCTTTGACAAAATTGCACAATTTGAGTCCACATAAATCATAGTTTCGAACCATTTAAAGTGGATTTTGTCCTTTGCAAATACTTATAAATGAGATTGTTATTGAGATTTTTTTACGAACGAAAACCTAAAATCAAAAATTGCAAAAATACAAATTAAATGCAAACACACAATTTATTTTCAAATTTTTATCACGATTTTAGTTGGGATTTGCGAATTTATCAACAACTAACATTGAATTTGGGATTAGGGGGCTAATCTATGATATGATTGATGAACAATGACGATCTAACTATGATGAACCATGATGATGAATGCAGACTAACAAAGATCGAACAATGATGAACTATATGATCGAACAATGATGATGATGGACAATTTTTATCACGATGATTTCTAATTATAATTATAAATTTGAAAATTAATTTATATTATAAAAATACATTTTCATGATTTATAATTATGCATTTCTAAAAAAATACATGTATTAAAAATAATTCAAAAAAAACACAATTTTATTACATTGTTGACATTTAAAATAATTCAAAATAAAATAAAAATACAAAATATAGGCCATTTATATTTTTCCACATCTGCAAATTGTGGTGTCATTTTTAAAGAATGACATTGTAGAATTTTTAGGTTTTTGTCACAACAAAAAAGTTGGTTTAAAAAGTTTTTCTGACAAAATTTCCCAAAAAGAATGAAATTTATATGATTCATCTCTGGACTAAATACCATGTAGTTTGCTAATTTTGTAGCTCCACTTCCATTCTTTCACAATAATGCTTTGATTTTCTACTAATAACCATTAAATTTCAGGATCGAAAGACAGGAAACTGGTGGCTAAGTTTTCAGAACATTCCGATAGGATACTGGCCTGCCTCCCTGTTTGCAGCCTTACCAGAAGGAGCTGAAATGTTAAATTGGGGTGGAACAATCTACGATTCACTAGGAAAGGGTTCGCACACAGAAACAGACATGGGCTACGGATTATTTCCTGATGTAGGGACTACTGATAAAGCCAGCCTAGTATGTTCACTGTATTATGCGGATGACTCAAACACACTCCAGATTCCGGACCGATCAAATCTGCTTATGGCGGTATCTAATCCTTTGTGCTACAATGCACAAATCATACCTGTGTTAGACCCTAAATTAGGACAGTGTTTTTCGTTTGGTGGTCCTGGTCGAAACCCAAACTGTCCTTAAGATGTTGAGAGTACTCTCATTATATATATGCTTGAATGTGTGTGTTTGTGTGTGCGCGCTCGCATGTGTGTGATTTGCCCATTGTGATTGAGATCTGTCGATCACTTTACTATTTCATCTGGTTTGTACAAAGGTGTGTTTGCACCTGATTTTGTGAATGAACAAATGAGTTAATAAACCCTAGATCTATGGGTGTAATACTTTGCAAGTTAAGCTTTTGTAGGTTACTATGAATAATTGAACATGTTCTTTATAGTTAATATTGAATTTGATGTAGGAAGTATGGAGTCATAATACATCGTGGTACTACTTGGTTCATTAATTTTTTTGTAAAGCACAAAAGGTGTTAAATAAGCCGGAGACAAGAATAAAAGCTCCACTCAATTCACTTTTTTTTTATGAACTGATATTAATTTTACTAAATTGAAATTATTTTTATTGATCTTAAATTATTTTTACTGAACTTAAGGTAATTTTACTTAATGTTTTTTTTAAGGTGAAGTGAACAAAATTTAACATGAATACATGATCAAGTCACATGCATAATTGTGCGGGTGAGGTAGTGGCCTTTGATTGCTCCAGAATTGTACACCTATCCAGAGCCAAACCATGAAACCAACAAACCATAAACACATCTTGGGCAAAACATGTAATTTTTTTTTTTTAAAAAAAAAAAACATGCATAAATTGCGCATATAATGATATAATAGCAAAGTCCAACTTCTTAATTACAAAGATAAAAGATAATCAATAATCAACTTTGAGAAAAAGTAGTACCACAATAGTTTCACAAAATAAATGCGTCTCTAATTTTCTTATTTGTATGCTCAAAACCTTTGTATCAAGCTCACCCATAATGACTAGGTACAAATGTACAATTATCCAGATACATTAGCTAAGAGTTCGTTACAAATATCTTTGATCAAATCAAGGGATAACAATAATTACTCCCTTCGTGTTTTAATAATTGATCAGTGTCGCACCATGCGACGAAGTGCCAAATCAGCAAATGACAAAGTAACCCCACCAACCTAGTAACCCTTCCAACCACGTAACCCCTCCAACCAAGTAACTTCTGACCGGACCAAGTAACCCCTGACCGGACCAAATAACCCCGGACCTAGTAACCCCTCAAGTAACCCATTTAGTAACTCCTCCGACTTATTAGTAACCCATGACCGGACCAAGTAATTTAATCCCTCAAGTAACCCCTCCGACTTATTAACCCCTTAAGAGTAACCACACTTAAGTAACCCCTCCAGTAACCCTTCAAGTAACCTCACTTAATTAACCTCCTAAGTAATCCGTTCACTTAAATAACCTTTATCCCAAGTTACCCCTGGTAACCCTTTCAAGTAACCCCACTTAAATAACCTATCTAGTAACCCCTAACCTACCCATCTATTAAGCCCTTAAGTAATTACCCCGGCCCCGACCTAGTAATGAACCCTTGACCCACCACCACCCCAAAACGTCACTAGCCCTACCCCGAATACGCCATGCCACCGCCGCCGTACACCAAAGCCACAAACAAACATAGGTCCAACCGAACCCACAACCAAATCGTTAAAAAAAAAAATCAAATCGAACAACCTTTAAATTAACAATGGCTTTGAATTTCACTTCAAATATGGCTAAAAAGGCCAAATTCGACCATGAAACCTCTAGATCAAGAGTTTTTAGGGTCGAATTTGGCCTTAAAAACCTATACGTTGTTTTCCGGCGACGGAGTGTGAGGAGCTCACAGAGTACGACGACGGGTTGGTGGAGGACATGCGTATTTCCTTTGTAATTGCAGGTGGTTTGTTTTGCAAGTATGTTGTCCTTTTTTGGAGAAAGGAGGAGAGAGAAAGAAGAGATAGCTTGATGAAGGGGTGATATGGGTGGCTAATCGGAGAAGAATAAATTAAAAGGGGAGATAGAGAAGAGAGAGAAGAAGAATTAAAAATAAAAATAAATAAATTATATTGTGGCTATGAAACTTTGTGATAATTGATTCATTAGCTAAGAATTGATTTGATTATCCTTTACATGCTTTACTAGCAAAAATCTTGATCTCAATATTTTTTTTTTTTAATTTTCTTTCCGTACTCTTTTTTTTTTTTTTTTTTTTTTTTTGGGGAGGCACCGTATCTTTTATTCAAATTTTTAGAAATCTTCTAAAATACCATTTTTTTTAAAAAAAAATTCTAAAATATCAATTTTAATTAGATTATTTTTATTTAAATCACATTCTGTATTTATTTAAAAAAAAAAAAAAATCATATTCCGTATATTTCCCTAAAAAAAAAGTCATAGTATTCCGTATTTAGTTCCTGCAACATCCTTCGTTCTCCTTCACCTTTGCAGTTTTTTTTCCCGAATAATTTTTTTGTCTTCAGTTTTCACTATTGCTACTCTTGAACTCCAAAGTCCAAACCATGGTTAATAGTGCAGATGTAAGTAAACATTGCTTACTTTCTTTTACCAAATTCATATATATTATATTAATTCGAATTCTTTATTGTATTTTTTAATTGTTTTATGATGATTAATTGCATCCATTTTCGGTTTATGTTCTATACGAATTTGAGATACCCCAATTTCTCTGTTTGTTTCTCACATGATATTTTCGTAAATAAACCAACATTTTATTCAATTATGGAGCCAATAATAATGAAAAATTGTTGATTTATTCACGAAAATGATAAACAGAAAATTTCCCCCTAGAATTTGTTAGTATGTATCCCTCTAATCATTTAATTGTATTTTTAAATTATACATGATCGAAAAACTAAAACGGATGATGTCCTTGCCCTTTTGTGTAGGAAAGTAGGGAAATTGAGAAAGATCTAAAAGACAACGAAGAAGGCAAGTAACTTTTGGAAAATTCTAGAAGTTCAGTCATTCATTAAAAGTATTCGTTTCAATGAGCCTTTATTTCCCCCGGGTCACGGTTTGGAAACACTTAAGGATGTCGAGGAGGAAAGACTAAAGTACACGAAAGCAAAGGACAAAGCGAAACCTCTAAAAAATGGTCAAGGAAGCCGTGACCCGTCATCTTTAGAAGCTGTCATGCTGGAGAGCTTGGTTGTGCAAGAAATGCTTAATACTTTGTTTGGATAGGAAGAAATGGAAGGAAAAGAAGAGAAGAGAAATGGAGGGGACAAAATCTCTTATTTGGGTAAAAGATTGGGGGAAGGAGAGGGAGGGATCCATTTTCCCTTTCTCTATAATAACCATAATCTCTCCAAAATTGGAGAGATTTGGAGGGAAAATGGAGCTCACCTCCCCCTCCCTTTCTTTTCCCTTCCCTTCCTCCATTTTCCCTCCCCTTCTTTTCCTTCCTTCTTTGCTATCCAAACAAAGCGTAAGCGCTTGCATCCTACGTTCTTCACTGATGATGTTGTGAGGGAGGTCCGAGGGATAGCAAAGTCTCGAATAGACTCTCTTCATCGTGTTTCAGGTATTTCTTGAATTTAAATTATTTTTACTATCTCCGTTAAGGTTATGTGCAACGATTAGACATTTTTTTTCTCTGTTTTATGTCAAATCGTTACACATAACCTGTAACAGAGGCAATTTCACACATATCAATTGTATTGTTGCAGTGAAGAACTGCATCACTATTTTCGGTAGGTAATGACCCTATATGCTGTTGTAATTTTGTATATTGCCAATTTTGTGTTGTCATGATAATTTTATTAGGTTTGGTAATTAAGGTATTAACTATATTCAATTATTATATTATCAAGATGTAAACTACTCTATTTTGTACAGCACTATAGGTAATGATCATGTGTTATGTGGGATAATATCTATTATTTCAGGAAAATTTGTTAGGAAGATCCTTTTAAGAGGTTGACTTTGTAAATAAGGACCTTTTGTAAGGCAAAATTTATGAGCAATGACCTTATAAGTTGTATGAGGTTGTGAATAAGAATTGTGGTTGTTTTTCCGGCTAGTCAACATGTGACTCCAAACATTGACTATCTTGTTCCTAGCACATGACACTTACAAAAGAGACCCTTTCGTACTTTTTTCCCCATATTTTCCTCAATTTCAAACAATCTCATGCTAGGCATATGAGGGGAAACATTGGAAAAATAGTGATTGGAGGTCTTTTTTCAATATCATATGCTAGGCGCGTGAAAGTCAATGCTAGAATTAGGCGTTGATTATTCGGAAAACCAACTAATGTCCCTCTTCACGATTTCACACAACTTATAATGTCCTTTCTCACAACTTTTGTCTTTAAAGGTCATTTTTCACAAAGTCCTCTCTAAAAAGGTCCTTTTTTCACAAATTTCTCTTTCTTAAATGTTGTTTCAATTTTTTTTTTTTCACATACCATACAAATAATACTATCTCCTTTTAGTTGCAACAAAAGAATTTTTAAAGTTTCATAAAAAATACCTCTTTGTTGCATCTAAAAAGTAATGGTAGTAATATTAAAAAACTAATTGTCCTCAATTTGTTGATTATCGTAATTAGATGAAGATGCGGACACCAACTCTAGACCAATAAAAAGGGGCCGCTGGTGAAGATGATGATATGTGCATGGGAAATTATGATTCTGGTCATAACTTCTGAAAAAGATGATAATTAGGTATTCTGCTTTTGTGTTTTAATTTATGTAAGGTAGACATTATGACTTACAATCGTAGTGTTATGACTTTATTAGTATGATCACTGTGAAATTGCTCTTAATTTTTAAATGTCATGTACTTTATGTGTCTACATGGTTTTGTCAAAAAATATATGAATGATAATAATTGTTGCTTAATTTTTTTAAATTACTCTATGGTTTATCTTGTAAATACCTTAATACTTGTCATTAGGAAAATTTCACATTTATTACCGGCGAAACCACCTAGCTTTACATTTACTACCGGTTTAATTTTTTATTTTATATTTACTACCACACAAAATCACATAAGTTTAATTTTGCTACCACTTAACACTTTCCGTTACCATTTCCGTTAGTGAGATCAACCACCCTCAATGTCACCCCTCCCTCCTCGGACACCCTCACTGCCACCCCTCCCTCCTCGGACACCCTCACTGCCACCCCTCCCACCTCACTCCTCCCCGTTTGCCACCTTTGACCACCATGATTTTTTTTAAAACCCAGCCACCTCCCTACCCCCTGTTGGCGCCGGTGACAGCCCCACCACCTTCCCTTATCCCCTCCTCGCTGCCCCCACCCTTAAACACCTGCCCCGATACCACCCTTCCCCCAC